GGAAGCACTTTTAAACTTTCCATTGGTCAGATTTTTTAATTTTTTTTTTTTTTTTTGTTTTTGACAGGAGCTTAATCCTTGAAAAAACACAGTACAAAAAACAGACAGAAAACAAAGAAACAATTGAACCATACACCATAATCTATATATTGCTAGGGATCATGGAGCCCAAGTATGTCTACCAGGTTGCATTCAGATAACCTGCGGTAGCATACTTGCATTGTTTCTTTTACAGAGAGGAAGTTTTACAAACAACAGTCAGTTATCTCTGACGACGAGCGAGTGACGCCATAGTCTGTCGTTAATCAGGAGAGATTGAGTAAGTGCACTCTAAACTGATGATCCAAAACAGTCTCAGCATTCTCACTGTTTTGGATGCTGAAGCATCAGTTAGGTGTACTCAGTTTCTCCTGATTCAAGGCTTTTGGTCCTGTTTCGTACCACAGAGTTGTGGACAACTGTATGGAAGATATATAATTAGTGTGGCTCTTGTGTCTTGTTTCCTGTGTATGTCTGCGCATGTATGTTCAAGTATTTACACTGTCCACAACAGAGACAAAACTGCATCTCATCGGAGTCTAATTATTCAGCTTGCTTTTTTTCCAGGCAGTCCTTTGCCTGAAGGGAGTCATAGAAGTCCATCCAGCATCGAAGAAAAAAAAAATCTGGATCCAGGATGCCTGACCGCAGGGAAATTAACACTAAAAGGTGTTTTCCAGCACATCAGCACGATTGTTTCTTGTGATTGTGGCACCTCTGATGCACATCTCCCACAGAGCAAGAGGATATTCAAGAATCAGCCATTCACAGTGCTCGTTCAAACTCAGTCAGCCAATCACTGCGAGCCAACAAAACTTGAGGAAAGTTGAGAGGAAGTTGTCAGGAGTTTGCTGGTAGCCTGTCCTCGGGCTCTGTTCGTCCTGAAGGATTTACTGTAGACTCCTGTAATTTTAAATCCCAGAGCCTTTGCTGCCATTGTGTTAAACCTCCAGTGCTGTTTGTTAAGTCGGAAAGAGTCCCGTCCTCCAAGACCCAGCCACAACAATAGCTTTGATGTTGAAATTGTGCGATTCAGTAAGTAAAGGCCGACTTCCCCTCTCAGCTACAGTCACACCATGCTTATAAAAGTTGGTCGTTTGAGCACATCACACAGATAAAACCCAGAATTGATGTTTTTAGATGACCCGGACAAATCCGAATGAAAAACAACCATCGCCATATCAGCTGTGTCCATGCAACCTCATTTCTCTTTTTCTGTCTCATCTCCTTCTTCTGCTCCTGAACCCAATCTATTCCTCCGCTCTCCCCTCCATTTGAACACCCGCACCCTCATTAGCACCCACCCCTTGACTCCGAGGAGGGCTCCAGACACACACAGAGATAAAGATAGGGTGAGGACTGTTGGGCGCTTATTGCTTTACTGATGCATATTGCTTGTTTACTCGCTGTCATTCCTCGTTTGTTCTCAACCTCTAATGCATTCCGAGTGATTAAGGACAGACCCCACAGAATATTTTGGTAGGGCTTTTAGAGGCCAGGAAACTTTTTCGTATGAAGTGACCCACTTAAAGTGCGGCACCTCGTGGGAATAAAAGTCACAGAGACGGGGAGAAGAAACCTGCTGCAACATGGTACATTACATGCAGCGTGGCGCTGGCGAAGAGCGCGAGCGCAGATGCGTTTGATGCATATTCACCCCATGCATATCCCATTCATGCTTTTGTATTCATGATCCCCATTCTCTGCTGATCCCTTATTACAAAAGCATGCCAGCAGCACTCCAAGCAGCCTTGCTTTACAGGTTTTTCACATCTTGGAGAGGTAAAGTGGAGGAGCCGTCGCGGCATCGCAAACAAGCATTATGTTGCTAATTTATTCTCTCTCGTTAAAGTTGCACTCCGCCGCTCGTTTTATTTGCTTGTGTACATTCACGGCTCCATAAAATTGAGATGCAAATTGGGGAATCTGGCTGACTGACATTTCTGCTCGGGAGACAAATCAATGAATTCAAAAATTAAAATCTCTTTTACACAAAACCCACTTGGTGCAGTTTTCAGGGAGCAGTGTGGCACAAGCAAATCTCCTCATCTGAATAATGTATAGCCAAGCATGCTCGTTTTTGTCCTTTGCTTTTGAGTGCTCGAGTTTGCTTGCATGTGTGAGTGCGCATGACGATGTATTATAGAGAGTAAATCTGGAGTGTGCCATGCTGTGACTGACTCTGCTATTAATTATAGTTCCCTCCACACATACACACACACATGCTCCGAGGACCCAGTGAGAATACCATGGTTTACAACAGCTTGGAGCGCTGGGTTCCAAACACCAGACAAGTGCTTGGTACCCATCGCTCAACCTTCTATGGACATGGATGCACAGAGGGAGGTCGGGGGGGGTGGATGACAGGCTGCCAGGAGGCTGCCAGGAAGCAGAAAGAGAGGGTGGGAGGGACAGAAAGGGAGAGCAAGCGAGGCAAAGTGCTAAATAGTGTGTGACTTCTGGTAAGCGCTGCCGTTTGATTGGGTTCCACCACCTGTCTGATGTGCTATAGCATGTGCCAGGCATATGCACTGCGGCATAGCTGGTGTCCTCATGATAACAAATGAAGGTGAATTCAATCAGTGAGTCACACTGGCTGTTTGGGCTGCTCTGTACGGTGGAGTGTGGTGTGGAGGTAAGAGGCTTTGAAGGCTGAAAGAGGCTGAAGCCACCAAATAACCAGCGAAAAATGTAATACAATGTATGTAAAGTAACGTAATATTCAGCCTGTTCTCATTCAGCAGCAGTCTGTGGCCGCTTGCGTCTGATTCTAACACAAAAGGCACCCTTTAGCATCTGCGTGAGACTCACCAGGCTTTCAGCTTGCTGTCGACAAATCAAGAAATGGAGGCAGAAAGGTAAATTGGCCGTGCTGGAAGACACACCTGCAGTCACTGTTGGCCTGGGAACTACGCCAGGTTGAATTAAACCAGAATTGTCCTTTAAACATCTCCAAAGCCTCCATATCCACACGTCACAATGTTTGTATTTAACCACATAGAAACAGAAACAAGAGATTACGGATTAACAAATAGCCAGCCAACTGTTTGGAGGTATTTACTGACCATCAACAGCTAGCTTAACGTTGTCCCTGCTGACTGCGTGCAGCAGCTTTCCAAAAACCCACACAATGAAGCTTCAGGGTTCACAACACTGAACAAAACATCAACTGATTCCTAATGTTAGCAAACCAGCAAATAAGAATCAGCGATTACAATTTGGCCTTCAAATTTCATGCCTAAAAAACGGCGTTTGCTGTATTTGAATGCATACAAAGCAGGAATTACATGGGTCTGTTTGAGTGGTAGCTATTCACTTGTGTTGTGTGGAGGTGTGACAGCAGCGTTGCCAGATGGGAAATGTTGAACTGTGGCACCACAGCCTGAAAATTACTGTATGCTAGTCACAACCATGAGAACAAGAAGGTGTAAACGTGAGACACATATTCAAATGATTTCTTAGACACACCTATAAGTCTTCCCACATTGTTTTTTTTTTTTTTTTAAAGCAAGACAACATAGCTAATATGCGTGGATTGGGGTATGAGCCCATAAGTCCATCAGTCTCTGACAATTTAAACTCAGATGTAGGATCCATATTTTGCTATCCTGATCATGCCGGGAAATTAATTAAAATAGTACAGCGCAGACTACGGGCCCTGACACACTGTCGTGACATCGTAAGCATCTGTCCCTCTAGTTTTTGCGGTGGGTCCTGCACTGCTGGCACCACTCGGCACTTGTTTTTGTTTTCGGCTGATTCACATGTTGAATTGGTATCAGACATGGTGGAGCCTGTCTGTGAGAGGTTCCACCTGATTGGCAGTTCAGCTTAGCGCACATGAAGAGAAACAGAAGCCCCTTTAACACCGCCAGATTTTCGGCAAATGTTGGGCTGTTTTGGCAGCCAGCTGCGAGCGTTTAGACACACAGAGCCGGACTGGTGAGTTGATCCGATGTGCCCAATTTTCCGCCTCGTAGGGCAGTCATATTGGCGGAAACCTTTTAGTTTAATCAGACAGAGCTGTTGATGACGCCGCACGTGTGAGCCACTGGTGGTTGATAAACAGGAAACAGCTGATAGCAGGAATTAGCGAGCAGCCAGTAGTAAGAGGGAAACACAAACTTGACAGACACTGTAAAGATGAGCAACTGGGGAGACAAGGAATTGCGCGCCCTCCTTGTTCTCGCAAATGAAGAGGCCATTAACCATCAGATGACGGGGACGGTGAAGGACGGGCCGACTTATAAGAGAATCGCCGAAGGACTGACCAGCCGCGGCTTCCCTCCCACGTCACTGTTTACGTCACACGCTGAGCTACACGTTTTGTTACTTGCTCACGCCCCCCATTGCCCCGGAAAAGGCGCATTCTGTATAAACAAAAGTAGGCAGGCGGCATTTTGCTGCACTCCCTGATTTTGCTTTTATACTGCCAATGCTGAAAAAAGACTGATTGGGCTTTCCTGCAAATTCGCACAATTCCTGTCTAAAAAGGGCTAGAGGTGAGGAAAGCAAACAGACGACTTAAGTCAAAGGGGAGTAAGATCGAAACAAACTGGTCATATTACGAAAGATTATGATTTTAGCCATTGAGCTCTTTAGCAAAAACAGTCTGACAAACAGTGGTGTTGTTAATGTGCTAACTGGCGAACTAGTGTATTGAATTCATCCTGTCAGACTACTGCCCCCTGCTGGTATGGAGAGTTATTTCCTCTTACGCAGGTGCCAGTTGGCCACTGGTTGTAGTTTTCATGATGTGTTCAAGTGCAGCTTTTTGGCTGAGACCCAGGTGATGTGAGGCAACGTAACGTTTGTCATTTGTTGTTACTTGACACATTCTCACTCCGACCTCGTCACATATCAACGTTTGGTCATGGACTTTCCACGTCCAGATATGATGTGAAAGGTACCCTGGGTGCGTTGGATGTTGATGCTCTGCCTGTTACATGCATTGTCTTCTTTCAAAATACACTTCCGTTTCTACAGGAAATTTACCATTTACATACAGTCTCTTTCCAAACAAACATACTACGTTGGTAAAACACCGGGAATTGATGTCTTTTTGCCATCAGCAACAAAAACATGTGGTTAGGTTTAGGAAAAAATAGAACAGGGTTTGGCTTTGTAATCTTACGGGACACAAACACGGCTCTCCCGGGTGAAAGTCTGTGTTTGTTGGACTCATCCACCACCCCTTCTGACCACCTCACTCGGATTTTCGTAGCCTTAACTTTCGTTCGTGTCCTGTCGCATTTCCCCCTGACGCTGCCGCATGCCATGAAAATATAACGATGACCGGCCGCGTATCATGCTGATGTTAAAGGACGGCTCAGTCACTGCCCAAGTGCCGAATTTCAATGACGACGGGTTGCGCCATGAGGTCTTTAATGTCAGTTTGGTGTGTTGGGGCCTTAAAAGCAACAACTAATTGTAAGCTTCACAAAATGGTCAAATGATCACACATTACGGCACTTTTTGGCATTATTGATCATGCATCGTATAGAGGGCAAAGTTATCGTACAAATATGATAATTATTGAACATCTGGCAACGCTGTGTGGGAGTTACTTCACTTGGGAGTGAAGTAAATTGTAAAGCATGGACAAGTGGCTTCACCCTCTCAGATTATGTTAGCACTGCAGCAGTAAACACACACATCAAACAGCTGTGTTTAAGAACAGCCATACTGGGAAAAGGTGTTTCTATAAAGTATCACTGCTTTAAGATGTTAACCATTAGTGTTTGATTATGAATTCATGCAAACTTGTGCATCTGTCGGCTCAGTAAAGTGAATCTTGGAGGAAGAACATGATCTGTATTCAGACATCATTTCTCGGTACAACCAAATGCTTGTACCAATATGCAGCACTGGTTGACATTTCTCTGAGCCTCATTTGTGAAATCTAGCACTGAGCAGGGAGGAGGAGAGAACGCAATGACTTTGCAACAACCTTTCTGGTTACATGGACTCTTTCGCTGTTTTTCTCGGCATCCTGACACATTTCTGGGTTTTCTTGGGAGGTAAACATCCACGGCAACACGGGAGACGGCGACTGAAACAAGCGGCTCGACAAACCGTTACAAATACCAACAAGAGAGCTCACTTATGCACTTTCCCCACTTTCTGGGGATCAGTGTGAGCAGAGGCAAGTGTGTCTCTGTTTGTGTGTCAGTGGAGGAGGTGCCTGTGACACTGCTGGGAACCGTCTGTAGTTTTTGACAAGTGTGTAGCGTGTGTGTGTGTGTGTGTGTGTGTGTGTGTGTACATGTTTCAGATCCTTCTCATCTCATTTGCCCCTGGAATGAGATGAATAACCAGACCCCCTCTGTCCCAGCCCCGCCTTCCCCCCTCGCTGGTATGAATTGCCAGGCTGATATCTCACTCTCCGGAGGGGCTGGAGGGCAATGGGAGCTGACAACACAATGGCATTGTCTCTGCTGATGGGGAGCCAAAGTCTTAGGGGAAACACTCCCCCTACCAGCCTCTCTGATAGTCTCCGAAAAAAAAGGTGGGTAGAGTGAGTCTGGGCTGGTTTGTGGGGTAAATAGCGTCTGGGTTTTGGATTGGAACATTTGTGTGTGGTTGAGTGGTGCTACAGAGCAGTGCGGAGTGTCATTGAGGTGCGAGGGGGTTGAGAGGAGGAGGAGGAGGAGGAGGAGAGGAGAGCTGTGCCAACACACTGAGAGGCCACTCAATTATTTAGAGGAGCGGCCAGGTTCAAAGAGTCACACCTGCCGATCCACCACCTTCACAGCTAATCTGCTGCTGCTGCTGCTGTTTTGATCCAGTGGTCATAAAAGTACACAAATACCACTCACATTATTATTACTGTTGTCAACAATGATGAGGAAGATGTTAAAAAAAATTCTGATTATACACGATATTTGCTTTCCTCGCCATGACGGCTGTGGATATAAAAGATATCGGAGCTTTCCTTTGAAAGTTGCTTACAACTCCACGTGGTTTCCTCTTCTGTCCACTCATCCCCATGTTCAGACCGTGACCTCTGTCTTGCTGTTGGTGGGCAGTCCCTTGTGCTTGGGGTGCATGTGCGGCGAATGGCCGTAGCCCAGCGGCTGCGAGAAGAGCTCTGGCAGCGTCTCGATGCTGAACTGCCTCTTGTTGGAGTAGGCCTGGCGCCGGCTGTTCTGCTGGTGCAGCGGCTGGTGCTGCTGCTGCTGAATGGGGTGGTGCTGCTGGCCCTGGAGGGCCATGTGGGAGGCCACTGGGTGCTGGATGTGGCTATTACTGGGGTCCCACGCTTTGAAGGCTGAGCTGGAGGTGAGCGGGTGGGTGTTGGTCTTGGAGATCTTAGGTTTGGGGATCTGCGAGGCGTTGATGGTGATGGCCAGCGGCGCGTGGATGTCGGGAGGTGGGAGGAAGGGCTTATCCTTGGGGTGGAAGTTGATTGGCTGGAATGTGGGAGGCGACTGGCGATGAGTGTAATCTACCATTGGGTAGCTCTTGTAGTAGTCTCTTGCAGCCGTGTCTGATGAAGGGAGAGACAAAAGAAGAAGGGAAACAAAGGCAGGGACAATTAGTGATAAACAAAATCAGTAGTGTGTGTCATCTCCACCTCACATCTACATCTTTTTATACTGGCAGATGCTATTTTTGTCCAAGTGTTCCTAGCCTGGGGATGTTGAAATATGATGTCCTAAATACTGAAAATACTACAACAACATTGACTCACATAGGACTCAAACCTCAGTCTCCTGTGTGAAAGTCCTGTGCTGGACCCACTCACACACCACATCTTACTGCCTCTACAGATTACATCTTTCTAGTGGTTAATTTGTACGTTTGATCTCATAAATTTACTACTTTAATTTCAGAATATCCGAGATCGACTAGTAGTAGCCTAACCATGACCTCTTTGCCATAACTGTCACTGCTTCCAACCTCAACACGTCAACATGACAAGTATTGGACAATCACAGCACGCAGGGGGATCCTTAATAACGCACAGGGATGGGTGTAAATAACTACATAGCTACGTTGTGACATTTCACACCTGGGTCCAAGTAGACACTCTGTTTCAGCTTTATATACAGCTCATCAACTTCTGGATAATTTTACAGCTAAGTAGCTTTGTTGTGTGTGTGTGTCAGCACTTCCCGAACTTTAGTATTTAAAACTGAACTGAAGTGAAACTTATTTATGCCAGACTCCATTGACAAAACAATCATTTTTATCTCACTGAACACGGGAGCTGCTGGTCTACTGCTGCCTCGATCATTAAGTTTGTTTCTGTTATTGTGTGACTTTGGTTTTGGTTTTTGTCAATGGAGTCTTTGAAGAGAGCATCAATAAATTTCATTTTCCATTCACTTTTAAATAGTAACGTTTTTAAGAGTAGGCGTGTGTTTGGGAAGTACTGAGCATATGACTGCATCAGTGAGATTTGGATTATACTGCAGTAAGTTGTGTGAGAGTGTGTTAACAGTGGTCTCATTTATAAACATTACGTATGCACAAAATGAGGCCTGAAGGAGGCGTTCGCCACTTCCCACATAAACGTTATGATCTTTAAAAACAGACTTGATGAGAGAATCTTTGATTCATGCTTATGAACAATGTGGAGACGAGAAACTGGCAACATGCATGGTGAAGTGGAAGCCAGATTGTAAAAAGTGGCGAATATTTTTGTTGTCCATACGTACGCTTTTAGTATGGGTCCTGCACATTGTCTTATAAATGAGACCCCAAAAGTTTCATTAAGAATTTTCTCTGTTTTTGGATTCTTTGTTCAGTGGAGGCATGCGAGAGAAAAAATTCAGCATAGCGCAGGGTGAGTAATTGATATACAAATGATCATTTGGGGGACGAAGTATTCTTCAATCACACGGACACATTCTGACCCTGCTACACGTATACAGATATTTTATCAAACAGATATTTTCCTCCACAGTTTGGCCTCTCTTCTACTTGCAAATGGAGTTTTAGGTCACTAGAAGAGATTTTCTGGAACACCCTCAAAGGTGCAGGTTTTTTAAAACTCTCCCTGTGGATGATTAAAATGGAGCATTTGGCAAATTGTGATGTCATCTATTCAATTTGCACATGCCCATTGTGGCTTTGTGGATTGAGTATATGCCAGATGTTATAACAACAGCCGAATACTGGTTTGCAAACACTTTTTTAACACTGCTTTGTCCAATAACTACTTTACACTTGAACTTAGGCCTAGTCCGCAAGGACCTGTGTACTTCTGAAACTGTGTATTATTCTATGGTGCCGTAGCATTGTTCCGACCTCTCATTAGCCCAACGTCCCGTTGTTCCGATATGTGATTATACTAGGCTATACTGTATTGTGTACCATAGAGGATCAGCAAACACAACAAAAGTAGGCTACTGGTCGAGATACAAGTGTCATAGAGAGGAGAGAATGAAACACCATAACCTCCTGTTATTAACTCTGGGGTCGGGGTTGTGTGGGGAGCTCTCCGCGGTGCTGAACGGCTCCCGGCGGGCGTATTTCTGCCTTGATGGTGCGCCGCGACCGGCTCTGGGTCAGCTGGGAAAGGCTTGAGGCGAAGCAGGCTCACGGCTTATGTGTTTGCCACTTTCTTTTTCATTTTAACCCACACCATGATCTTTTCCTGACCCTAACCAAGTGGTTTTTGTGCCTAAACCTAACCAGACCTTAACCACAGGGCATCATGATGATTTTGGAACAACGGGACTTCAGAACAATGGGTTTAATATGGTTGGAACAATGGGCTGTAGGACCAATGGGCTGTCGGAAAAATGGGCAGACCCCTTATTCGATACGATTTGGATGTTTGGCCACACGCAACCGCACTTTTGGGCCCCTGAAACCGCGTTTCTTTGAAACCGGAGTCCAGGGTGAAGTTTTTGGAAGACTCCAGTGCCTGCGGTTGGGTGTAGATAGGATAACCGCAGTATTTTATTACCTGTCTCCAATGTTTGACGTCAGAGCCACGGTAAATAGCTAGTGAAATTGCAGACCAAACAAACATGTTGGTGCTAAATTTATTTGTGAGCGTGCTATCTGCTCTCTTTGGATGGCATATCCAGCTGCTTGACCAACGAAGGAGGCTGCTCCTGTTGCTAGCTACCCCAACTACACTACCACGAAAGCAGCGACAGGCCTGCCAACGGTGGTTCTGGATCCAGCCAGGTCGGACCTCCGTTGGCAGCCCGTCGCTGCTTTCGTGGTAGTGTAGTTGGTCGTTCAGGCACCTCTGCTGTTGAATTAGGTTGCGCTATTTTTGTGGATCAGGTTGTTTTTATTTTCTGATTGGTTAAAATGGCCTTTCCATTAGAAGTTACATCGCCACCTACTGCTTTGGCATGTGTATTACATCACTTGGTAGCAGGTTTTGCGGTTTCATGTGGATATCATATTTTTTTATCACACCACTCATGTGGACAATTTTTTTTTTGAAACCGGAGCCCGAAAAACTTCACTTCAGAAGTACACGGGTCCGTGTGGACTAGGCCTTAGTGTTGCTGCACCATCTGCTGCACCCAATGTTTTTGCTCCTCCTCTGCATCCGCATTTTAAAGTGCACCAGAAACAATTGTTTTGGACCAGGCCTGGTCGAACCAGCAGATGGTGGGGTAGAGAGTGGGGTTGTTGTTGATGAGGGATGGATGGGAAACTTTAGCATGTTCAGAGCATCACTCCTATGTTTTCGCAGGCTCCTTCATCCTTTTATCGAATGGAAATGAACGGAGGTGTTTTGAAAAAGGTAACACCAGCCTTTATACTTTACTACTGCTGTGATGAAGGCAGCCGACTAAGACAATAGTTTGGGGTCGTTTTTGCATTCAAGTGTGGACGGAGATATTTTGTAAAAGGAAGGTTGTGTGGACAGAATTCTTTTTTAAAACAGAAATGGAAATATCCGTTGTCAAAGATATTTGTAAACGTGTAGACAGGGCCATCTGTCCAAGTTCAATAGAAACATCACATCACACATACTGTATCTCCTCCCACACACACACCTGAGGCAAATCTGTCAGGTGAGCACATTAACAAGAACAAGCCAAGGCAAAGACGATGAATCCTGCAGGCTGTACAGTATGTGTGTGTCCATGAAGATGTGTGTGTGTGTGTGTGTGTGTGTGTGTGTGTGTGTGTGTGGTCCATATTTATGTGTTTGAGCTCTGAACTGACGACGCGCTGACCGTGGAGTTAAAAATACCAACGGCACCAGAGAGAAACAAATAGATGGACGGAGACTGAGAATTAGGAAAACAGCCCATAAAACAGGGGAAAGGGAGAGTGAGTGAGCGTCGGGCAAATCGAGAGATTTGTTGGGAGTAAAAATAGAGTGGGTTCAGCGTGTCGAGTCAGATTAGTGTGAGCTCCCTGAGTGGAACTCGACTCTGCTGCTCGGTCATCACCACAGCCCCCCCCCCCCCCCCCCGCTCCACACAAACACACACACACTGCCCTAAAGACACTAACAACCTTGTTTGCTTAGCCCCGTTTTATTGGCCCTTTTTCCTGGAGAGAAATAAAAAACACTCCTCTTTTTTTCCCTAATTCCGATGCCCTTTTTGCTCCGTATTAATCCTCCTCTTAGACCTGTTATCTTTCAGTATCATAACATCTGTCTTCCTCATAACATAACAGAACGTAGCTGCTATCAGCTTGTACAACACGTTTGTGACAAAGTACATCTGTGTGTGTGTTTAATCTGTTTGTGAGCCTGTGCGTCTGATCTTATCGTTATGATACTCCAAACAGGAACATGATAATAAGATTATGTCAATAGGCTGGTCAGGAGAAGCATGACCAGTTGAATTTGTTGGAATGAATGTGACTGCATGCGTGTCTGACAGAGAGAGACCTGTGCACGGTGCTCACAGGAACTTCAAATGCAACTAAAAAAAACATAATTTGAAAGCATATTTTGGTAGCTTTATATTTGCACCATTGGAATTAGCTCGAGCTCTGAGTTTTTTGCTTGAAGTTTCAGGAAAACATACCAACCATTTATTTAAATGACAGAGTTTAGCAGATGCCTGTTTTCCCCCTCTGTCGCCACCGCTGTCGATTAATTCCTAATAATTTATTCTAGCCGAGATGACCGAGAACATTTTCCCATATTTGTATTTTCAGCAAACACCTTGGGGAGTGCTCTCACATTCACACATGTCAAGAAACTGTCCAGTGCCATCGCAGTCTAGTAATTGCTTATTGAACACTTCACATGTGGGTCCATTGTGTAACTCCAGGGCACTTCAACAGCAGCTGCTGAGGAAGGAGACAGAGTCACTGGTAATCATTCAGTAAAATTCTCCCAGTTGCTCCAAAGATTTAAACACAGTCCTGCTTTTCTCAGTGTGTCATTAAATAAAACAAATATTATAACTGTTGTTTATCTCAAAGGCTAACTGGGTATTTTCTCTCATTACATGACAAAGCTGCCGAAATGTAAGTTGTACTTGAAAGGTGCTGTAGACAACATCCAGAGCAGTGATATAGCAGTAAAGCACAGTTTTTGAGGCT